TCGGGGTGTCTGTTCTATTAGAGGTTTTACGGTATCTGTATACCTCATAACCCTGGAGAATTTCACAGAATCTTGAAATTTTTCCTAACCTCCCGGAAACTTCTCGGAATTTCAATTCTTCAAGGATACATGAATTTGGGATTCTCAGGACATATGAACCCAATTGAGATAATCCAAAATCCGGAATCCAGAATCAAGAATCCAGAATCCAGAATCCAAAATCCGGAATCCAGAATCCAGAATCCAGAATCCAGAATCCAGAATCCAGAATCCAGAATCCAGAATCCAGAATCCAGAATCCAGAATCCAGAATCCAGAATCCAGAATCCAGAATCCAGAATCCAGAATCCAGAATCCAGAATCCAGAATCCAGAATCCAGAATCCAGAATCCAGAATCCAGAATCCAGAATCCAGAATCCAGAATCCAGAATCCAGAATCCAGAATCCAGAATCCAGAATCCAGAATCCAGAATCCAGAATCCAAAATCCAGAATCCAGAATCCAGAATCCAGAATCAAGAAATGCAGAATCTCGAATTCGGAAATCCGGAATCCGAAACCTGGAAATCGAGAGACCGGAAGTCAGTATCCGTAGGAGAATCTTTTAGTTAACCGGCCAAAACGTGTTTTTTGGAATTTTTCCCGTTTCTCGTTCCCGGGGTACGTCTGGCTCCTAAGTTTATAGGTAGGTCTGAGACATTGAAATCATCAGAAAAACAACTTGTGACTGGGTTGGATTTGTTTTTTAGATACTCTGTGTCCAAATGTGTTAATAGTCGGTTTTTTGTAGGATTCTAGTCAAGTAAGTTGTAGTCTTTTCATCAAATAATCTTCTTTATCATTGAACAGTTTCCTAAAAGTCTCCACAAGACATCTTACTTATACTTCACATGTTCTCTAGAATCCATTCACATGCAATACTTCCTTATCACACACGCGACGTCTTCAAAGCGATCCTCTTCTTCTTCAATTGTGAGGACGACCACCGTGAGAGCACAACATGCACCCAGTGCAATATCATTTTCAGATTTTTCTGGTTCTTTCAGGACTGCAAATGTCTGTATTTACGTGCAAAATTTCGAACATAAAACAATTGGATGTTTTTGAAAACATTTGAACCTGAATTTACGATGTTTGGATCTGAAAGGAGCGTGATGAACAGGACCAATGATGACATTAGACGAAAAGAAGAAAATTCTGGAACAATTGATCATGAATTAATTTTATTATATCATGATGATAATTGGATAATTTATCATAATCTAGAAGATAGTACAACAAGTTATGTCTATACTTGTTGACAACCTGATTCCGGGCCGGCACGGACCGTCTTACAACTCGCTTCAAAATTGAAATTGTGGGACGACATACCAGATGATAGAGCTCGGCAAGCTCTTTAGTAAGGATCGACAGGCATTAAAATTAAATATGGGTGCTGACCAATATTTGATAGTCGGGAAAATAATTGTCGGCCCGGCCAAAAAGTGCCGCCCCAGACTATAATATCGCTTTGAAGCCAGTCGATTATGATTGGAGGTTGTACAGCTCTTCGAGCTCTATGATTCGGTATGCTGTTTTTCTCCCAGTTTCAATTCTGAAGCGAGTTATCAGCCGGCCCGTCGACAAGTATGGTGGTGACTCTTTCATATCAGATTCACAGCAAGATACTATAATCTTTAGCAGTCAAGAAAAGAAAAAAGGATCAATGCAGAAATCAGCGAGATTCGACCTGTTTTTATGTCTTTTTTATCACCGGTTCAGTGGTCAAATTCACTGCTTTTATGTTTCCTTTTTAGGATCACAAAATAAAAAAGATAACAGAAGAATTCTTCATTTCGTCAGTCAATCAATAGTAGTATTTTGGTATACACATCGTCAGATCGTTTGAGTTTTTTACAGTTTGTTTTATTGGATTTGACCCGTTTTGGAGATATGAGAAAGTCGAATGGAACATTTGAAAATGAGTGCAATTATTTATATTTGAGCAATTTACAACCGGAGTCCTGGACGAGATTTCATTTGAGATCCGAGTAACTGAAAATAAAAGAATATGAAAACATTTGGAATGGAAATATAACTTACATCAGAAATTCTGATTCTTCTGAATTGACGGAATACAATATGGCCAGCTCCATCGCTTAGGAAGTTGACTGATTTGTCAGATTTGAAAGTCTCGTATTCAGCAATCGATGGGATTGGAGCGTCGACTCCGGATGGAGCTCCTCTGCTGATGAAATCAATAAGACGAGCATTTTTCACGTTTTCCTGTTTCTTCATCAACTTCTTGTAGAGGACGTCTAGTCCTGGAGATTCAGATTCAATTTCTGGAGCAGCGATGACGCCTGAATGGATAGAATAAGAGGATTGAATGGGAATAGCTTAGGACTTACATGGAATGGAAACAAGAGCGACGAGAACAACTAATCTCAGCATTTTGTTTTCAGAATAGGTCAGAAGAGAATGGAATGTAGAATGTAGAAGGATGGTGTGAAACTTAACGAAGTCGTGACTTCGACGGCCTGCTATTTATTTGATTCTGACGCCTTGACGATGGATCGTTAGAACACGCGACACGCCGACACTGACGATGGCAAGAGAGCATTGTGATATAAGAGAATGCGATGGATCGACAAACTGTGATCTTCTATAAACCAATGACGCGAACAGTACAATAGTGGACAAATTCAGGAGACACAGACATTTATCAACTTTCATCGATGCACCGGAAGCTTCGGTGGGTTGGAGAGGAACAACGAAAAAGTTATTTCTGGCGTCCAAAGCCACAGCCTTCGTTGAAAAGAGGCGTTTGAAAAAACCAAAGGAGTAGGCACATCACTGATCATCCGGTAGAAGTAGACGTGCTACTTCACATCATTTCGTTCTTTGAAGGCCACGCCTCCTAGAATTGAGAGTACTCTGACGCTAACCATCGTATATAAAGGGTCGGCCGGGACCCTAGATCTTCAGACAACCGTTCTTTGCATTCTCCTGGATTCTGGAAAGTTCTTATTTCATTATTCTGGAATTTCCTTCCTTCGCTTATATTTGAATCAATAAATTCCTACATTTAAAAGTCTTTTTTCCTGTTACCAGCTCTGAAATGTTCGTGACTTTGGAACTGATCTTTGAGAATCACAAGACCTATCTTTAAAAGTCACAGTTCTTGTCTTTTTTTTCTATTTTTGTGACTTTTTTTTATAAATAGCATTCTTCTCTTTTCTTCCAATTTCTTCTTCCTCTATCTTTTCTTTACCGAAGATAGGAAAAAAGAAGACTTTCGGAGATATCACTTCCTTTTGTTACGGTTTTTCAGTGGTCGCAGAAAGCACAGTGACATCATTTGAGAGAACAAAAAGTTTTTCAGAAAAAAAGTTTGAAAGAATGATTTTATTATTTTTTTTGGGAACAAAATATACAAAGAAGAAGAAGAAGAAGTACACAGAGTGATACAGTTCAAAAAGTCTGATATGAACAATTGTCTTTGTTTCGTCGTGGTGGTGGGAAACCCGTGGCGTTTTTTGGTGGATGATATGTCCGTTTGATATGTCAGAAGGTGTTGAAGACTGATATGTCCGAATTGAGATGATGGAGTTGGGGGGGGGGGGGGGATGTACAGGGAAACTGTCAAAGAAGACAGGAGAAGGTGTCCGTGGGAGAAAAAGATAACAAGAAGATACAAAAAAAGTGACAAATTTTAACTACAAGGTACAAATGGGATAGGTAGATCATTGGGATCGAAATTAGACACCTCCGGCACGGCGGTTGACGTTGTGGAGAATCTGAAAGTAAGAGAGAATTAAAATCAATTATTGGAGAGCTTTCGAATTTTCAGAATTATTTCAGAATTCATATTCTAGAGCGCTTTTCCATACATTAAGCCCTCCTCAAGTTAACGCTGTCTCTTATGCTGAATTGAGCCATACTCGAAATTTCAGAATATTCTGGAAAGTTCAAGAAGGGCCAAGAACCAACTGCGAAGGTGTGAATGAATCTATTCTCTAGTGAGACAACGACTCGACCAGTGAACAATTCGAAGACTCATCTATCACATGCGCGTTCAACTTGCGTCCATCTTGTCTATCTTCTTTTTTTCTTCCAAGGGTGTAGTCTCATTGAACTTACATCAGAAAGGCGAGCACGTCTGTATTGACGGAAGACGACGTGTCCGGCTCCGTCGTTGAGGAAGTTGGCTGATTTGTCAGATTTGAATGTCTCGTACTCAGCCATCATTGCGACTGGAGCATCAACACCTCCTGGCATAGCACGGCTAATGAAGTTGATGAGTCGGTGCTGCTTGGCGTCGTTCTGCTTCTTGACGATTTTGGCGAAAAGGATTTCCAGATTGGTTGGTTTTTCCAGTCTTGGCGCTTCGATCATTGGGGCGGCAGAACAGAAGGCAACTGAAATTTTTTCATTATTTTCAGACGCTCATTTTCAGCAAAGCTCTCACCGATGACAACCAAAAGAATGGAAGTGAAGAGGAAGGTTTGAGATTGCATGATTTTAGAAGTTTAAGCTTTTGCTGTTGAAAATCCAGTGGTCTAGATGCTTCTTTTATAGTGACTTCTTCTTAAAGGGGTGGGACAGAATAGGAGAGAAGGAATAGGATAGAAGACGAAGAGACGCAGATTATCAACAGTGGGTGGTATTGTCGAGTTCATATTTGGAGACGTATGTAAGATCAGGGAGATCAGGAGGAGGAGAACGACTACTGTATTCTTTTGGGAATAAGAGGAAAAGAACGAAATGGGTGGAGCTTAATGATGAGAGACTGGGTGAAAATAGGAGACTACAGAGAAGTACCCAGAAGACGAAAATAAATTGGGGATTCAGAGAACGAGGATGCTTCTGATCGTTCGGTTCAAGGTGACCGAACTCTGTGGTTCAGAGACTGAAACGAGGCGGAAACATTGATACATTCTTGCGGCGATCTTTTGAAAATGATAGAGTCAGATTACGGTAGTTTCTCTAAAAGATTCCGCCCCAGAGTCCCTCCTGAAGATTCTTAGCGGAACCTTTTTTTGAAAATCTGGAGAAAAATAGAATAACACTAGGCCAGTGATCGGATCTGAAGGCTCGTATATCCATTTTAATGACTAAATGATCCCGTATTTTTTTCCCATCTTTATTGCTGCTCTAGACTACCGTAATCTTTTTGTGATTCCTTGTAGCTATCACTAGAACTTTCTGAAAACACAAAATGTGTGACCTGATCACATTTCTCAAATTCCAGATTTCTCTAGGTTGTAGTCCTGCGAAATGATGATACGTTGAGAGTGGTGATTACCGTATGACTTTTTTTTTGAGGTGGTTGTCCAATTTTAGATGTTCTGGAAAATTCGAAATTTACCTGTATTCAAATTTTAAGGATTCAAGGTTCTATTTATGATTCTTGGCTTTATTTGAACGGTTCTGACCGATCAGTTAAAAAATCAAAATGACATCAACTACGGAATTTTCGGTATATTTGATCTCGAACACTTCTGACCAGAAATTTGATTTCGTTGGAATCGGTTCTTCAAATACCCAGATTGGCCCTTATAGTCTGATGTTTTTTGTTTTGAATTTCTGAAACACAACTACAAAAATGATTTTCTCGAAATCCTATGTCCCTCGAGGAGTTGAACCTGTGGACAAAACGCTGGAGGTGCCGCTCCGTGGCCGGCTGAGCCACGGTGGAGCAAGCTGAGCAGCCACAACATAACACAGATCACCGCATCCCGTTACCTCAGAATGCATACCCTATTTCCCGAAAAACTCCGAAAATCTCCTCTCCCCCTCCTTTAAATTTTCATCCAGGGTCCCCAAATCCACCAGTACATGTACGTTATTCATCTCACGGAGACTAACTAGTCGTACATTTGCACTCTGAAAAATGATTGAGTGTGACAAAAGGCACTTCACGTTCTTCTTCAGTACAAATTGTTCGTATCTGTACCGAGATAAGTCTGCCACCGCCTGCCGTCTGACTGCGTGCGATACGGTATTTTTCGTGATTAAAGCGACATTTTTCTTCTCTGAAGAATAAGAGAATTTTCGGGAAAGGTACGGTATTAGTTCTGAACTTCTCGTAACTTTCAGAGACAAACTGGAAAAGAAAAAAGTAGAGGGAATTATGAGGAGAACCTGAAATTTCCAGAGACTTTTCTGGAAAATAGGATTCGTTATTACGATAAAAATTACATTAGGTTGAATAACAGTATTTTGATGAATAGGAATTCATCTAATTTTCATTTTTCAATTCTAAGTTTTGGTTAGGATTCATCCAAGAGTTTGATTTTGAGAATATCCTTTGTGACATATCGTTCTCGTTTGTTCCAGCTTGTTCCAAGGGAAGTCTCTCTTTAGCAGATTCACAGACAACTGATATTGGCCTCGTGCTATCACATGATAGTTTGTTCCAATGTGCGACATCATCAGAAGAAACTGCAGAAGAAATAAACGTACTCTGCAGTCTCCGAAAACGTGTTCCCCACATGGAGTTGATCGGGGTGATCCATCCGCTATCAATTGGACCAAACCAGTGATAACCGAAACACGAGAGTGTGATTGGACGCAAAATGAGTTTCTGAGTATAGAACAATTTGAAATAGACTTTTATAAGAATAGAAAGAAATCCGAAGATTTGAAATGGGAAACTAGAGAATATGGAAGAATTTCTAATAATATTATATTATCCTAAACATGAATCCTATTCGGGAGATTCGAATATTATCTTGAGACTACAAACTATTTGACGTCAAATTTTATCGGCTTTCTGATATTCCAGTATTGTTCTTTTGATATCCCAGTATTGGAATATGGATCGTTCCCGGGAGTTCCGAATATTACCTCAACATTATAAAATATTTGACGTTAAATTCTACAGACTTCTGGAAGATTCAGATTTCCGAGCAATGGAAAGGTTTTCAGATGATTCAAGGTGTATCGCCTGGATGCCAGTTTCTGAATCATCAACTGCTGAAACCCCATATAATTCTTCAAATACACTTCATTTTGTCACTGTTTGTGATACCAAAAAGTCATTGTTATTCTAACTGATTTCTGAATATCATCTCTTATTCTCCTTCTCCACCGATCAACGAATCCAACGGGTTCAACCGCCGACACTGATCAGAATACCTCCACATTTGTTTTCTCCGATTATAGTCACATGTGTGATCTGATCGATCAGTTCAATCTGCAATTCCAAATCTTTATTTTTTGTGAAAATGTGAAAATGGAAAAGATCATTTGGCAAGGGAAAGAGAGCACAAAACAAAAAGTTGTGGTGAAGAGTAAACAGGATAGTCAGCTACCAGTTAGTAGTGAGACTGCTCATTTGTAAATAATAAATATTTACTGTTTCAATAAATTATTTGAGGGGAAAAAATCTTGTGAGAGGAAATTGAAATTATCGGTTCTGAGAAAAATAAAAAGATAAGAAGTTGACAGGTCAGATCAACATGGAGGTCTGTGAAAATATGGCTTTCGTCTGTTTGAGTAGTGACTATAGAAATCGTAAAACCTGCATTAGAAGGGCCGGACCTTTTATTGATCCAATGTACTTCTATTACAAGGGCCTTTCAATTAGAGGTTGGATTTTCTGGAATTTCGGATTTTCTGGAATGTTTTTCTCTGTAAAAGTACTGTAATTCTGATTTTCGAACAGTGTGTTTTAAGGGGCCTTCTAGTACAGAAGGTTATTCTGTTTTTTCCAAGCCCCTCGGAGACCCCTTCTATTAGAGGAGCCCTACTAAAACAGGTTTTACGGTAGGTAAGTTTCAAGGATCATCACGGCGAGCCTAATGTGGGTATTGTATGAATCTTGGCTAATTGAGAGTTACTTATTGAAGGGGTTTTTTGTAAGCTGAAATTTTCAAATTTTACAGAATATGAGTATGAAACTCCTTCTTCATTTTCCTTTCCCCCGACCACTTTTTCCTCTTAGTCTAAAAAATCGGAAGTACATCGGTTTCAAAATTAAAATTCAAAATTTTGGTAATCCCGACTCCAACATGATATTCCAGCTGAACAAACTAATCCCTACATTTTTTTTTCTCATACAAAAAATGCATATTGCTCTGTGACATCAGCAAGAATTCTCGTTAAGATTCATGAACCATCTGAACAACTTTGCTGGAGACAGACAAAAGTCTCAAACAAGTAGAATTACCAGTGATCCGAGCCTGATTCTATACAAATAATAACGGAAAAGGTAACTCCTCAAATAGAAATAGGGGAAAAAATTACAAAAACGAACTGTATTTGCTAAAAAGCCTATATTGATGGCAGGGGGAGGGGGAGAGGTGGAGCAGTTAGGAAAAAGTTTGCTCAAATACCAGTTGAGTTGGCACTAGAGGCCCACGGAGCTCCCATTTGGTTATTCTTGTCACATTATGCGGCTCGATTTAGGTATCGCAATTTGTCTTCTAACTATTCTGGTAGGTTTCTCCATGTTTTGTTTTTCAAATTGAGCTTAGGGATCTTAGCTTTATACTACAAAATGCAAAGTAATGTAGTACAGTATACCATATTTACTCTTCGACTCGTCACTTTTTTTTCTCAGTTTCACTTTTTTCAGACGGTCACCGAGTGTGCCATTCCGTATTATCGAACACATTCGAACTTTGGATCATTGGGACGGGTTCGTCATTTTGTAAATAAAAAGAGATTCTTATCCACAAATACAACTCTTTTTCCGTTGTGTAAATTTTAAATTAACAAAATTTGTCGAAAAATATGAGTCACTTCCCCCAAAAAACAATGATTTACAGAGAAAAGTAAGACAAGTGCAGAGAGATCTCTCGTATCGATGGCCAAACAATATGGTGCCGTATTTTGTGGGAAATGTGACAAGTGAGAAAAAAAGAAGGGAAATAGTTTTACTGATGGTGATTTGTTTAGGTAACATCAAAAAGTCAGTTAGGATGGCCATAGAGGAGCTCCATGCATGGACGTGCATTAGGTTTCAGAATGTCAATGAGAGATATTCAAGTGAGATCTTTTTCAATAAAGATACTTTTTCAAGCTTGATGTTAAGTCCAGTTTTAGAAAATTTTCTAGAATTCTTGAAATCAAATTATCCGATTTATGACTATATTATATAATTGAAAAATGTGAAATTTTTACAGTGTGCGCCTTTAAATTGAAAATTTTAAACTTCAAATAACATAGCCATTTTTTATATTTATTTTGAAGCTCTTCATGAGTTTAACTCAAAACTGAAAGATTTCCCTAGTCTGGACAAAAAGTGATCAAGTTATGGCCAATGTTTTGGTCCAAAAAAAAATGTTTTGCGCTCATCTTGCAAATTTCAAAATTGATTGTTTCAAAGTTTGTTGTATCATGAGCTTCAAAATTAGCATGAAATTTCGAAAAAGCTAGAAGCCGTTTGTTGCATCAATTTTTTAGGGAGAGGTCATGACCTAATTTTTTCTAGGTCATGACCTAGTTTTTTCTAGGTCATAATTTAATTTTTTCTAGGTCATGGTCTATTTTTTTCTAGGCTATGATCTATTTTTTTCTAGGTCAGGATCTAATTTTTTCTAGGTCATGACCTAATTTTTTCTAGGTCATGACCGAGTTTTTTTTGGCTCTTTATGACAAGGGGGGGGGCCAAGACAGAAGGAGGGCCCGTGGGTAAAATTTATGTCTAAGTTAAGATTTCGCGATTTTTTCAAGTTTTGTAACTGTGTTTATGAAAATTTCGTACTTTGCGCTTGTTTCCATAAAAACGCATAACTTCAAAAAAGTTCATTTTAGGTTGTTTTTCCATGAACAACACTGTTTTTGCTGTTGTAACTGTGTAATTTCATTTTATTAAGCTAATATTTGATTAATTTAGGCTTAGGAACAAAATAATTATACAAAAAATGACATAAACTGAAAATTTCAAAAAATGATGAAAAATGTTCAAAGCACGAAATTTTAGTGGAAACAACCACAAAACTCGAAAAAAAAGAGTAAATCTTAACCTAGGCATAATTTTTCCATTTAAGCCCCCTTTTCACTTGGCCTAGTTTTTCCTAGGTCATGACCTAATTTTTTCTAGGTCATGACCAAATTATTTTCTATTTCAAAACTCGCAACTATTCCAAACAATTTAATTGAAAATATTTTTCACAGACTGCCCGAAACAAAAGTCTAAAAGCATAACAGACCAGTCGAATCCTCCAATAAAAATATTGTGATCGCAAAAAAGCATGTGAACATTGGTTAAAAAATTACGGAACTAGCACTTGGTCAATGATATTTCAAAGTTCAATGACGACTTGAGAATCATCCAGTTCAAAATTTCACATTCTTGGATGACGTCTCAAATCTTTGTGTTTTCTTTTGTTTTGAAAACTACACTCTTTGTTTCGAGAAGCTTCGAATGACGACGTGGCTTTTTTTCAGACGGCGACTCGGTACGAATTGTCGACCTCGGATCGTGTTCTTCGCCAATCGGACGTCAACAAATTGGAAAACAAGATGTCTCTTTAACGAAAAATTGTTGGGGGGTTCGTTTACTTTTTTTTAAAGTTTTTGAAGGAAAAAAGAAATTTCAGATGGGGACTGCCATTCATGAGTTGATGCATGCCATTGGAATAGAGCACACTCAGTCGAGAAGTGATCGAAACAGATATTTGGATATTCTAGCTCAAAATATCGATCAGCGAGATCTTCCAAACTTCGAACTTCTTTCTCCTCGTCTGTGGGCGAATCTGGTACCTTATGACTATGGAAGTGTTATGCATTACTCTGCTGACTCGTAAGTCCCCGATGAAATAAAGATTTTAAGAGATTTTTTCAGGTTTTCCAACAAAGATGACGAGCAAACAATGCTTCCAAAAGATAGAACATTCATCGAAACGATGGGTAGTATGATTCCGAATTTCTACGATTTCGATCAAATCAATCAATACTATAATTGCTACGATTCATGTCGAAACTCGGGTGAACAAGTAGCAAATTGTGCAAATGGAGGGATTCCGAATCCAAATAACTGTCAAATCTGTAACTGTCCGATGGGTTATGGTGGAGATCTTTGTGATCAGAGGGTAAATAAAAATTAAATTTGACGCAGAATGTGATGTGCTTTTATTTTCAGCCAGAAGGATGTGGTTCTACACTTGTAGCTACAGATCGTTGGCAGAAGCAAAAGATGACAGTGCGATTCAGTAAAAATGATGATCAGTACTTCACATTTTGCAATTCCTGGGTTGTTGGGCCTGCTGGACAGACGATTCAAGTGATTTACGAAATAACTTCCGAGTCAACTAGACGGCAGATTTGTTCATTTGGATGTTATGAAGGAGGGATTGAGGTGAAACATCTGGAGGATCCGAGAATCACCAATGATCGGTAGGAAATAAAAATTAAAAATGTGACGATGGTTTTGATATTTCAGAGACTGTTGTTTGAATACTCCATTGAATGTAACAACGACAGTGAATCCTCTTCCAGTCATCATTTACACATCTGGAGCCACTGTTACCTACGATTTCTCTTACCGATACTTGTGAATCCTCTTCGTTTTTCTCAATTTGTTATTCATTTCTGATCTCCTTAAATAAACGAGTATTGTTTGTTAGAGTTGAGCAATATTCATTCGTTGCTCTAAAAAATGAATTAAACCCATAATCAATGACTCAAAAAAAGAAAGAAAAGAATGATTGCGATGGAAGAGGAGAATGATGAGGAAGAGGAAGATGATGAAGATGCGAGGAATCGGAAATGATAACCGGACATTACTTCGAGATATCTAAAGAAAATTGAACTTCGATTGATAACAAATTTTATTAAAAAACAAACCTCGGATCAATCGCCGCAATAATCGTGTCGAAATTCACAACACCACGAAAAAGGCCTTCAGAATAGGTTGCAAATGGTAATCTCGAGTGAATCGAATTGCATTTATCTCTTCGATTACAGACGCACGTCGTCTGATTGAAAGTGTCTTCACACAAAAGGACAGCACCGACCCGACGCATTCGGAGTTCTGATGTTCGTCGATTCATCTTTAATTATAATTTTTATTGTGAAGAAAAAGTGGAGGTTTTTATATGATATGATACCTCTAAATCTGCTAGTTGCCATGGTGTAAAATTCACACATCCTGACATGTACTGATATACAGGACAGTGCTTGCATTGTCCTGAAAAATGAAAATTGTATGACCTTGGAAAGTTTTCCTTGAACTGTTTTAGATTTAGAGATTTTTTTCTTGAGCATCATAACTGCTCTAAAGCGCACCCCATATGTACAGTACCGGCCAATAAGATATACGAACTCGTGTTTTTCGGTTGATCCATCACCATTGTTCACGTAGAAGCCTTTTGTGCTCGATTATTTCGGTTCATATAAAAGATATCAACAATTTGTCAATTGATAAAATGTTGATCATATTATCAGCAATATTTTATCAGTTGACTACTTTTTGATATCTCGTATACAAATCGAGATATTGCCTATTCAATAA